AGCAATCCTCCTGCCTCAGCCTCCCGAGTAGCTGGGACTACATGCGCCTGCCACCACGCCCGACTAGTTTTTGTACTTTTAGTAGAGACAGTGCTCTACCATGTTGGCCATGATGGTCTCGATCTCTTGACCTCGCGATCTGTCCTCAGTCTCACAAAGTGCTGGGAGTACAGGCGTGAGCCACCGTGTCTGGCCTTTTTCACTCATTTCAGCAGAACAGAGATGGGGTTTCACCATGTCGGTCAGGCTGGTCTTGAACTCCTGACCTCAGGTGATCCACCCACCTTGGTCCCCTAAAGTGCTGGGATTAAAGGCGTGTGACACACCCAGCCAATTTTTGTATTTTTAGTAGAGATGCGGTTTCACTGTGTTGGCCAGGCTGATCTTGAACTCCTGATCTCAAGTGATCTACTTATCTCAACCTCTCATCAAAGTGTCGGGATTACAGGCATGAGCTGCTTCGACCAGCCAAAGCCATTTCCCTCATAAGACAACATTTGCTGTTTTGGATCTATTCTGTCATGAGTATACAGCCGAATTTCTCAGATGTTATAAAAAATACACCATAACAACAAGTTGAACATGGAAGCAGAAATGAGAATCCAGCTGTCTTTTATTAAGCAAGAATTAAAGATCTGCAAAATGTAGAAAAACTTAGTGATGAGTGTCACCAGAAAATATTTTGTTACTTCTATTAACACATAAGGAGTCTCTTTTTAAATATGAGTAAGTATTTTAAAAATTAATTACTAATGTGGAAAATACTGAAAACCTACAGAAATGAGAACTCTTTGGGGTCCGGAGAACCACAGCTTTAAACCAAAGATCAATTTGAAAGCCTCTATCAGAAACCCAAACCCTAGCCAGTTAGAACTGTTTTCCTATGTTGACTTTTCAGACCAAGTCCTAAGTTAAGGTTTCTTAATTTGTAGGTCGCTATCTCTTTTTGAACGCAATTGCAAATCAACTCCGGTACCCAAATAGCCACACTCACTACTTCAGTTGCACCATGCTGTACCTTTTTGCAGAGGCCAATACGGAAGCTATCCAAGAACAGATCACAAGGTAAGAGAGCAGCTTACTTTTTAAATGCTTCAAAATGGTCCCCCTGTCCTTTGATCTTAAAGTCTCGGGTTTTTGTTTTCCTATGCATTCAATGTTAAGTAAAAATCTTATTTATTTAAAATTATTATTTTTGATGCGTAGTGTTGCTCTGTTGCCCAGGCTGGAGTGCAGTGCTGCTATCTCAGCTCACTGCAACCTCTGCTTCCCAAGTAGCTGGGATTACAGGTGCCCACCACCATGCCCAGCTGATTTTTGCATTTTAGTAGATACAGGGTTTCAGGATGTTGTCCAGGCTGGTCTCAAACTCCTGACCTCAGGTGATCCGCCCATCTTAGCCTCCCTAAGTGCTGGGATTACAGGCTTGAGCCACTGCACCCAGTCTTCAGTGAAAATATTCTACATGTCCAATAATCTTTTAAATGTGGGATATAATTGTGAGCAAAATGGATGGTTCCTGCCCTCCTAATACTCATTCTGATGGACACATATCACAAGTAGAGAGTTAGAAATCATAATCATTGCTTAAATGAAAAGTAGTTTATACCACAAGGCACATTTTGATTTAAGGTCAGAGTTTCTCTGAGGTGGTGGTGATAACTAGTCCTAAGTCATGTAGGCCTATGAAAGACTATGTTAAGGACCTTGGACTTTTCCTCATTAACTCTGGGTTGAAAGCAGTAGCAATAACAGGATCATACTTGCATTTTCCTTACAATAGTTAAGAATCTGTTGCCGGATTGCCTAGACTATATATAGCATTGGAGAGATTGTTAGTGAGATAGATATATGCACACTTATATTTTTAACATTGGGCCAGACTCTTTAAACTTGCCCATTTGCCTAATTAAGTCGTACCTATGGTGCTGAGTATGGTATTCCTTTGATTTGTGTACCAAAATACCTTATTGGATGCTTAGATGATGTGTTCCTTTTTGTTTATATAAAGCTGCAGTAAGTCTCCTTGTATTTATCTTTGTTACGCTTCATGCACAGTTGGTATGTGAAAGGATATAGTTAAGCTGATACTTACTGGCATTCAGAAAAATTTTACCAATTTACATGTGCACTAGTAGATTCCCTAACTTTTTCATTGAGAGCTCATTCTTTTCTTTGAGATGGAGTCTCACTCTGTTGCCCAGACTGGAGGGCAGTGGCACAATCTCGGCTACCCACAACCTCCACCTACTGGGTTCAAGAGGTTCTCCTGCCTCAGCCTCTGACTGCTGGGATTACAGGCATGAACCACTATGCCCAATTTTTGTATTTTTAGTAAGATGGCATTTCAACACGTTGGCCAGGCTGGTCTCCAACTCCTGTCCTCAGGTGATCCACCCAGCTTTGCCTCCCAAAATGCTGGGATTGCAGGCATGAGCCACTGCAGCAGGCCTAGGAGCTCATTCTTGAAGTTACTTTTTGTCCTGTGTGTGCTACGTACTCTTGGCTTTGTGTGGCTTCCTCTCCCCGGTCACCCCTTATTCTGAACAGCTCTGAGATACATGCTGTTATCTGCACTTTACATTAATACGTGGTCTTCTAGGGCTAAGAACGGTTTCAAACCCGGTTATTCCAACGCATGCTATTAGGAGTGTTTTGACTAAAGGTCTTTACCAAAGGTGAAAACTTTGGCATGTGGTGCAGTAATCAGGGAGAAGTTAGAAAAAAAGATAATGGAAGAATAATCATGAATTTGTATGCTTCTCTGCATTAACTCTTTCTCCCTTTTCAGAGTTCTCTTGGAACGGTTGATTGTAAATAGGCCACATCCTTGGGGTCTTCTTATTACCTTCATTGAGCTGATTAAAAACCCAGCGTTTAAATTCTGGAACCATGAATTTGTACACTGTGCCCCAGAAATCGAAAAGTGAGTTAAAAGTAATTTTTAATTGTCTAGTAATGAGACTGGAGAATGAAAACCATTTGTCTCTAGGTTGGGTCAGTGATGAGTAGCTAAAGCAAATGAGATGCAAGGTATTGTTAGGCCTACTCTTTAATCACAAATCTGTAACTCTTTGCCCTGCAGGTTATTCCAGTCGGTCGCACAGTGCTGCATGGGACAGAAGCAGGCCCAGCAAGTAATGGAAGGGACGGGTGCCAGTTAGATGAAACTGTATCTCCGTTGTATGTGTCACCCTAGCAGTCTCACTGCACCGAATTCGTAAACTGAAGAATCCTTTCAGCTCTTCCTGACTTTCCCAGCCCTTTGGTTTGCGGGTATCTGCCCCAACTACTGTTGGGATCAGCCTCCTGTCTTATGTGGGCACGTTCCAAAGTTTAAATGCATTTTTTTTGACTCTTGGCCAAAATTTAGAAGATGCTGTGAATATCATTTTGAACTTGTGTAAATATATGAAAGAGAAAACCTTTGTCTGGAACTTCTTGGGTTTGTGCAAGCTGTGTCCAAGGCAAGTACATAAACTGGTACCTTGTAATAAAGAGGCAGCTGATGCCATGCACTTGTCTGAGGGCATAGCTCCATGTCGTCTGACATTCCTGGTGTCCCAAAGAATAGCAAAAAGCCGGTTCATATTATGTAACTTATTTTTTTAATGTGGACAGGGGACCCTGAAAATCACTAAGTTATTAAAAATGTGGATGTGCTAGAAGTTGATGTGTCCGGGAACATGGGAAGGGCTCACTATTGGAATCCCTTGAGTTTGTTTTGTCTCTACCCAAACCCATTCTAAAGCTGACTGCATTTGTACCATTTTATTTCTTTTGGGGAATATATACCTCAGCCATATGAGATGAGGGTCAGCTCTTTCATATAAAAGGGAAACTAGACCAGGCTTAAATCCCACCCCCTACCCTCACCCCCACCATCCCTCTCCTGAAAGTTTTATAAACTGTGGGAATACAGGAAAGGGAACCAGATCTCATGAATTGCCCTCCCCCATTACTCCACTGAATGGCCATACAGGCTAAACTGAATAATGACAAAGATGAAAGGACCAATACAGCCTTTTTTTTAAAAAAAAAAAAATAATAAGGATTTTGAATGTTTTGCTAATGTATTGGTCCCTGTGTTGCATTTTGTAGCCTTTCCTGGGCTTCAGCTCCCCTACTACTTCTTTTATGTGTATGCATACTGTAGCCAACCATTAAAGTCATGACACACATGTGAGTCCACTGTGCCTTTCTCAGTAGCAGCAGCCAGTGCTGATGGTGAGGTTGAAAAGTGGACAGTTTAGCCTTGCAGAGCTTGGGACCATTGGGAACCACCAAATTCTTGCTGAATGATAGGTCATTCCCACTACTAAACTAAGCATGTTTAAGAAAGGAAATAATTGTATTTTTCTTCCTATTTCAACACTGGAAAATTGCTGAAGCAGGTTTCTCTGGTTAAACCGAATTTAAAATGCCCAGTTTTAATATCCTTTACCCTTAGGTATTTTGGTATCTTTTTAAAGAAAATGAATAGATACCTATTTTAAAACTTAACCAACTTAAAACTGGATTTACCTTTCATGACTGTCAAGTTTTTACCACCAGAGAGGACAAAAAGGTTGTAAATTAAATAACTGAAGTCCTCCTTGAGTGATGTCTTAGGGTTTATTCCCTGAGGAGTGGTTTGTGCCACCTACATGGACTCCAAGTTACTGATCGAGTGCCAGTTCCACAGCTTATTAAATCCTGAGGGTCTTTTTTTTTTTTTTTTTTTTTTTTTGAGACGGAGTTTCGCTCTTGTTACCCAGGCTGGAGTGCAATGGCACGATCTCGGCTCACCGCAACCTCTGCCTCCTGGGCTCAGGCAATTCTCCTGCCTCAGCCTCCTGAGTAGCTGGGATTACAGGCACGCGCCACCACGCCCAGCTAGTTTTTTGTATTTTTAGTAGAGACGGGGTTTCACCATGTTGACCAGGATGGTCTCGATCTCTTGACCTCGTGATCCACCCGCCTCAGCCTCCCAAAGTGCTGGGATTACAGGCTTGAGCCACCGCGCCCGGCCTAAATCCTGAGAGTCTTTTAAAGGTTAAGTGACTTCCTCAAACTAGACTTACATTTAAAATAGGGTCTACCTCCAAAGTCTGTCCATATATATATATATAAAATGCTCTGGAACACAAGACCTATTACCGCATTTCCACTGGCTTTGGTTAAAACTAAATAGTTGTAACATGTGTTAAGTAACAATTAGCAGTGATTGCCAAGTCTGCTGTTCTCAATCCTTAAAACATATCCACCCTTACCTCAGTTTATCCTGGTACACCCACCTTTGCGTCTTTCCCTTTTGGTGTTTAATAAGATCCAAGTTTTCCTCTCTTTCAAAGATAAGTATTAAAGTTCTTATTGCTGTTCCTTCAGGGAACAGGGAAACTACTAACTTGTCATTTCCAACAACTGATGTAAGATCATCTTCTGACCATAGCGAACCTGTAAGGCTTGCTGTTCCCTCCAGCTGAGTTTAGCGTAGGCCTCCTTATTGCTGAGTACATCTTTGTCAGTTTTTAAGTCTGTGGCATAGGTTTGCAGGGTCAATAGAATGCTGTTTCGAAGCAGCTGTCTCCACGATGCTTTGAGCTTAGGAATGTTTGTGATAGTCAGGCTGCCGTCTCCCCTTTTCTCATCTCCCCCTCCATCCTGGTCTTTAAACTCTCTGAACTCTTCAGCAGGCATGCACAGTACCTAGAAGCAACCACAGAGCCCTTTAATTAGGATGCACTACTTGCATACTTCTGAAATTATTCAGGAGACTAAACTCATCTTAGCATTTATTAAAAATCTCACATTTCCTCTATCTTCTAACTATTTTGCTTTAAATATTCAAATCAGCATTAAATGGCCATCTTCAGCCTTTTACCTTTAGTGTGGTGGTCAGCTCCTCTTCAGTCAGCACCTCCTCCCTCCCTATCACAAAAGCTCCCTCTTCCCCTACCATCTCCAGTTTGCATAGGAAATCCCAGCGTTCATACATTAGGAGCCTTTCAGCTTCAGTTTTTGTTCCTGTAGATGAAATAACAATGTGAAAGTCTTAGTACACCTAAGGGCTCTTATCATCTTCACCGCCTAGTCAACAAAGTCAACTGCTCTTTAGCAAGGCTATTTATTTTTTATTTTTTTTGAGACGGAGTTTCGCTCTTGTTACCCAGGCTGGAGTGCAATGGCGCGATCTCGGCTCACCGCAACCTCCGCCTCCTGGGCTCAGGCAATTCTCCTGCCTCAGCCTCCTAAGTAGCTGGGATTACAGGCACGCGCCACCATGCCCAGCTAGTTTTTTGTATTTTTAGTAGAGACGGAGTTTCACCATGTTGACCAGGATGGTCTCGATCTTTCGACCTTGTGATCCACCCGCCTCGGCCTCCCAAAGTGCTGGGATTACAGGCTTGAGCCACCGCGCCCGGCCTAGCAAGGCTATTGAACCTGAGGCATGGGTACAGATACTGCCATCAGCGTCAAAGATTAATGATACACTCACCCTGTAATGCTGCCTCACGAACTGTCACCATCTGAATGTCAGCTGTGTCATCTGTGTTGTTAGGATATGGTTCAACAAAACCATACATATGAATCAGCTGCCAGTTAGCCATTTGCCCGTACGTGTTGAAAATCTCATGGCCTTTAGGAATGGGCTGAGTGGCTACCATCCGAAGACAATCCTGAGGTGAAAGGGAGAAGCTGGGGGCATGCCTTTCACAGGCCGGTCCCAGAAACATTACTTCCTCTGAAGAGCCTTCAGCAGGTGCTGTTAACTACCAAAGTTCTACCATAATTTCCTGTTAGACCCTGAACTGTGAAACAAAAAAGGGTTAGGCTCACTTTAAAAGGCCAGCTTCATGTTTAACTGGGTAGATTTCTGCACAGTCATCTTCACTTAAAAGTCGGTAGCTCTAAAAATGAAATTTGTGGCTGGGCGTGGTGGCTCATGCCTGTAATCCCAGCCCTTTGGGAGGCTAAGGTGGGCGGATCATGAGGTCAGGAGTTACGACCAGTCTGGCCAACAAGGCAAAACCCTGTCTCCACAGAAAAAATAGAAAAACTTAGCCGGGCATGGTGGCAGGCACCTGTAATCCCAGCTACCCGAGAGGTTGAGGCATGGACAATTGCTTGAATCCAGGAGGTAGAAGTTGCAGTGAACAGAGATCACGCCACCACACTTCAGCCTGGGCAACACAGCAAGATGGGGGGATGAAATTTCTGCAGATCAAAGTCGGAAAGGAAAATGAAGGCAAGGATTTAGAAATAACGATACTAGTTTTTGATCCTACAAATATGCCATCTTTTCTTGCAACTTTCCATATAGAATAGAACTGGTATAAACAGCTTTATACCAGTTCTAGGATCGTCTTAGACCTCTGGCCTGTGAATATCCTCACCCCTCCAAAACAGAGTGACTATCTGTTCCAGGCTGCTATCCACAGAGCCCCACACAGTCTGGGCTCAATGATACGAACAGCCAGCAGGGAATGAAACATGGCTATGCAGACCACCAAATTGGTAGCACTAAATAAATGACAGTTACAGTTTATCAGAGGGTTAACCACAACTCAACTTTGAGGACTTTAAAATGTTTCGCATTCAAATGATTCTTCAGTAATATGCATACTAAAGAAGTGTACAGGAGGAGCTGACTTCACTACTCATTTTGTAGCACTAGTAAGAGAACGGAGCCTAAGTCACAGTGGCTTGAATCATGCTCAATCAGGGCACCAGTAAGAACTCCACTCACCGCAGAGTATTCCAGATTGGCATTGTGATTGGCTAAGTGGTTTAGTATGTCTGCAGCGGGCACCATAATGGGGGAGTTGGGCTCCTTTTCATCTTCCTCTTCCTCCAGTGGTTCCTGAAAGCTGCCATTCAGAGAACCTGGTTAAGGCCCTGTCTTGGGTGAAGGACTGGGGGTGGCTTTCACTGTCTTTCCCCTTTTGTCCCTCTACAGACTTCTAAAGAAAAGGGTTCCGTTCTCTGAGGCCCCAGTCACTGACCTATAGGCCATCACAAGGGCCACGAGCTGGAGGTAGAGTTCTAGGGAGTGAACCCTGAGGCTGAAGAGATCGGGGTGGGCTTCCATAAAGGGCAGCACAATCGAGTGGTACTCGCTACGGATGCTGTCCAAATCCTTCTCCACGGCCTCAGGTACGCCTGTGCCCTGCAGCAGGCGCCGGCGCTCCTCCTCTGGCCTGCAGGGACACCCACACCCAGGTTCCCTTCATTCCTCCACGCACTTTACTGGGTAGGACTGGTGCTGCGGAGGACTGAGGGGAGGACTCGGTCCCTGCAGCAGGCTACAGTGCATACGCTCCCCAACCCCTCCCAAGGCTCTCACCAGAACATAGGGTGCTCCAAGTGGCCCAGCTCGGGCCAGAGCGCAAAGTACGGCCTCCAGTGTGAGGCCGCGGCCTGCAGCTCGTGCAGCAGTGCCAGCAGCAGTGGCACCCAGCCCGACTGGCTCTGCAGCGCACCTCGCTCTGAGGGAGACAGGAGTGAGCGTCCCGGCGCAGCCTCTCAGGCCCGCCCCAGCGCCCTCGCCCGCCGCCGTGCCCACCTCGCTCCAGCAGGCCGCCGATGGAGCAGGTGTGCGGCGACAGGATCGCCGCACGCGGCACCACGAACAGCAGCTCTCCAGCCTGCACGCTCTCTCGGGCCACCATGCCGTAACCGGCCACCGTGCCCTGCCGGCTGACCTCCACCTGAGCAGGGAGAGGGCTGGTCAGGGCAGCCCGCGTTCCACTGTGGGTCCTCCGCCCGCCTGCTCGCCCGCCCGCTCGCTCACCTTGGGGCTCAACTCCAGCCCCACCCGCCGGCACCAGCTCAAGAAGCCGGCCACAGGATCCGGGTCTCCGCAAGCCATGGGCCCCGCCACCTGAGATAAGTACGCGCAGTGACCAGGCCCGGCCCCCGAAGGCCCGCTGAGAACCAGAGGTGACCGCGGCGCGTGCGCAGAACGGGCTTTCGGGGAAAGGGGGGGACAAACGGAGAGGGGCGCGGGACCCGCGGGAGGGAGCGGAGAGGGGGCACACGGACGGCCCTGCGGGCAGAGAAGGGGTGAGGTACGGAGGAGAAGGCTGGAACCCGCGCCCACCACTTACCCGTGGGCGCTTCGCCTGGGTCGCCATGGTCTGAGCGTGATCCGCCCGGCTGGGCCTAGGTCGCGCGGCCACTTCCGGCGTCTCTGGCCCCGCCCCGGCGCCGGAACCACGTGGTGCCTGTTTTGGCGTCTGCGCTGTGGGCTGGCCGGGGTTAGCGCCAGCTGGAATGGTTCCTCCTGAAAACATCTTGAATCCAGGGATTCTAATTGCACTCGCGCGGTCCACGTGCAGGAAGGAGTGTCCCGTGCCGTTTGGAGCTTGTTTCTGAGCCAGGTGCAACCCTGGCCTGTGGTCCATCCCAGAGAGCTGAGGCTTCTTGTGGTCTGGATCGGAAGCCGAGGGTCTGGATCGGAAGCCGAGGGTCTGGATCGGAAGCCGAGGGTCTGGATCGGAAGCCGAGGGTCTGGCGGCCCGCGGGTGGTGAGCGCACGCATCTGGGGGGCCAGCGGCCTCCTGATCTCGACTCCTTGTTACCGATGGCCATCAAACCATCTTACTGGTATTTGTTCAGAGCAGTTTTCGTGTGTTTCGGAGTGGCATGGCCTGGAGGGCTCCTGGATCTAGACTAGATCCCTTCTGCCCTTATTTGCCAGTACATCCTCGTTTTTAATCTGCTGCATAGCACGTGGTGGGTTTTAATAGCTAAAGTAGTAGGGACCCAGTATCTACCTATTGGGTAAATGAATGAATTGAATAAAACAAATAGTGGTTAAACGTGGGGGAAGGAGCATGCTGTTAATTTAAGAAAACGAGGCTGTGAATATTGAGGTTATAAGAATGGGCTTTGAAGCCAAGCAGCGCCGGAGTTAAGCACTCAATTTGGTCTGTCATTAAGACAGATCCTTTTTTCTGAAGCTCAGTTCTCCTCACTTGCGAAACTAAGATAATACCTACCCTGTAGAATTAACGTAAGGATTGGTATGTTGACTAAAGGAAAAAAATTAAGCTTTTAAAGAATTAAAGTTGGATTTATTTAGGAGCCTTATTGAGGACTATAGACTGAGGCCTGTAGCCCAGAAGTAATCTTGCCAGGCTGCTCCAACACGGTATTTCAGTTGAGGCTATATATAGGTGAAGATTTAGTATATGTAAAATCGTATCAAAGTTTAGAGATAAGTATATCTGGTTATAGATTGCAGAAGTATAATCATTAACCCTGCCAGACATGAGCTTATGTATAGGCGAAGGCAAAGACCAGGGTCGTTTATCTTTGAAGGAATGCAGTGACTCAGGCAGGAGATTTGGAGGGTAGGTATATTTTGTTTTGTCTTTAAGGCATTTTTTTCTGGAGAGCTGTATTTTGTTTTGTTTTGTTTTGTTTTGTTTTGTTTTGAGAGAGTCTTGCTCTGTTGCCCAGGCAGGAGTGCAGTGGCACCATCTCCGTTACCACCTCTGCCTCTGGTTCAGGCGATTCTCCTGCCTCAGCCTCCGGAGTAGCTGGGATTACAGGCGTGCACCACCACACCCAGCTAATTTTTGTATTTTTAGTAGAGATGGGTTTGTTTCATTGTGTTGCCCAGGCTGGTCTTGAACTCCTGGCCTCAAGTGATTCACCTGCCTCAGCTTCCTAAAGTGCTGAGATTAGAGGCGTGAGCCACTGCACCTGGCCGATAACTGTATTTTGTCACTGTTGGGTTTAAGCAGAATGAGCACATAAGGCTTTTAATACTTTTGTCATACTCTCCTCTCACGGGTAAAAAAAAAAAAAAACGTACATGACTTGTACGGGAAGTACAAAGATGGGTGGAGACCATCCTCTCCTAGCACCCTCATCCCAAAACCCAAGCAGCACCAGCAGCCCCTGCCTAAACATTCTGTCTCTCCAAAAGCTTCCCACGGTGGGCATGGCATCACCACACTGGAATTCTTCTTAGGTTCTTTATTAGTTTTTCAGCACAGTTAACTCTTTCTACGTTGACTAGAGTTTTGTTTTACATTTTGTCATCTCATGACAGCAGCCACCAGAACACACAAAATTAGGCTCTTCACTTTGTGCGGAGAAGAAAATAATAAACATTAAAAGTTCACCTTGACCAAAGACAGCCTCCGAAGGAACACCACATGGGAGGACCCAATGTGTACACACACACACACACACACACACACACACACACACAATATATAGAATATTTATAGATATCTCATCTGAAAACAGCAAAAAAAAAAAAAAATTCCAAGATTTGCAGTGCTATCTACAGTAAGAGGGATTAATTCTACCAGCTTTCAGTCACATTCAGTATTTAGAGGAAGCACGTGAGGGGGTAGAACTAGGGAGAAACACACCACGGGGCTCGTCATGGCTTCGGATTATAGAAGGGGGTGATGTGAGCAGAGAAATATGCATCTAGGTGTCCTCTCAGCTTCAGAACACCTGCCACAGCCCTCCCCGCTTCACAGCCCTTCATTTTTGCATCACTCTCTCCCCTATTCTGTTTTGGGGTTTGTGACCATTGATTTAGGGTCCAAGACAAATGGCTCTGGTTTCTGGGCAACAAGATTCTACGGGGTAAGGTGGGTGGATGGAAAGCATATGGCAGTCTTGGGCTTCAGGTGGAAGGAGGGGGCTGGGGTGTGGGGGCAGTCTTTCTACTCTACCTGTCCCATGTTCAATGTCCAGAACCTTCAGCCCCCAGCAAGCCCCAGCCCAGGCAGCTATGGGGAGGTGGGACTGTGGAAGCCTTGCTGCCTTGGGCCAGTTGACCAAATAAACTCTCTCTTCCTTAGTGATGCTTACAGGACCCGCTGGCGCAGCCTGGCCAGAGCTCTGCCTGAAACACCACACTGCTACTGATGGCATTGCCCTCTGGGGAACCTGGGGCAAAAAAGGGTCTCCAGGAACTCAGCTGCCCCCGCCTCTGGCCATCTGTGGGCTCCCAAAGGCAGTCGCCGTGAAGTTCTCAGGGGTACACACACCACACATGGGCTGTCTCCTCCTCTCTCGCCCCATCAGGTCATTGTGGGGACAGAGGACCAGGTGACTTCTGCCTCAGGGAGGCCTTGGCTCAGAAATGGGACAGGGCCAGGAGGCGGCACAGTGTGGGCTGTTAGGGACAGTCTGTGGGGTTCCTGCCCTCACAGTTCTCCATGTTCTGTCTTCCTTGGGCAGAGAAACCCCCTGACATCCCTGCCTGCCTGGCCCCACAGCACCAGCTGGGCCCAGAGAGCACCAGGAAAGTGGCTGCCCGGTCCGAGCGCCCCCTTGTGGCTCTTGTCCAGATGATTGTCACATGTGCTATGAGACAGAAACCGGTGTGCTTGGTGGAAGGCAGGGGAGGAGGCCTCCCAGGGCTCCCACGCCAGTGCCTGAGCTGGCCCCCAATCCCCTGTGGGCCCAGCACCCAGCCTCTCAAAGCCACTGCCATCTGTAAACCCGCCTGCCCAAGGGCTCACCCAGGATGGCCTGGATCCACAGCAAATCTCCCTGCGGCCCTGCCCTCCTGTGCCTGGGCTGCAGGGAGTGGGATGAGGGGTCAAGTTGGCCAAGTTACCATGGAGCGTGGGATGGGGTGGGGAAGAGTGAGCCCCTCAAAACATCTGGAGACTGTTCCGCCACAGCATCTAACATAGATCCCCTCATATTTTTTTTCAAACAGAAGTAACCCCATTTCCTCCCCTTTGCCCTCACAAAAATAAACTAAAGGGAACATGAGCCGGCGCAAGGATGGCAGTGGGACCTCGATGTGGGCGGACAGCTGGGTGTCGTCAGCGGGACTGAGGACTTCAACAGGACACCTCCATGGTGTGGTTGACCTGGCCCAGCCCCTCACTGCTCTCCGAGTGGGTGCAGGCCTGTGGGCGGCTGCCATCCACCGAGCTGGCACTGGTGAGGGACGCGGTGCGGGAGCGTGCCAGGCGGGTCATGCTTGCCGAGGGCACTGTGGACAGAGACAGGATGGGTGTGAGGATCAGTGGGCAGGGCCAGGTGCCTCCAGTGGGAAAAGTAGGCTGCAAGCAAAGCGGCTAGCAAACCGTTCCTCCAAGGCACAGAGGGCCCCTCCTGAGCCAAGAGGCTGGCAGCAGCTGTCGGGCCAGGGGCATGCACGGCCGGGGACGGTGAGTGGGCTGAGGGGGCTGCGGGCAGCAGGGCCCTCTCAGTGGCTGACCAGGCACCGCGAGCTGGTGCAGGGAGGTGCTGGGTTTCCAGCTGTGCCTCCCTCAAGAGGATGCGGTAGAGAAGTAGGACTGCTTCCGTAAAGGAGGACACGGAGGGTGGCCTCACACTGCCCTCAATTTCGACTCTGCCCTTATTCTTCGGACTTTGCCAAGCAAGGCTTACAGGAAGCCAACTCTACCCTCCTGAACACTCCTGGCCACTTCTGTGGCTCAGGCAGGGCCAGGCCTAGGCTCTACCTCTGAGGAGGGTCTGTTTCTAATCCCCAGACCTCTGGAAGCCACGAAGCTCATGATAACCTAGAAGCAAGACTGCTCTGCAACCCTGCTGATCTACAGGCCCAGATCTGCAGAAGAGCAAGAATCTGTGGGGTTTCTGAGTTGAACAGGACATGAGAAGGTTCCAAACCACAGCAAGATGCGGCCTGGCTGCAGCACTGCGAGGAGGGAGCGGGGAGGGGGAGGCTGGGCATCCATGCATCAGGGGAAAGGGCCGTGGGGCTACCTGCTCCTCCACTCAGCCTTCGGTCCTTCAAGTACGCAACTAAGAGAGAAGACAGAGCCGGAGAGGGGGGCGGGGGTGGGGAGACACAACATGGTGAAGAGCGTGGTCCGCCGAGGCAAGGGCGTTGAGATGACCCAGAGAGACGGGACAAGGGACAGGCACAGAGAGGCTAGGGGCAGGGTCACAGGCTCTGGAAGCCCACTCCTGCCCACCCACTCAGCGGTGGCTCCCCGGAAAGATCTCTGGCCCAAGGGAGCGCTGACAGCAGGTGGGGTGCTTATCCCCTCACCATTCTGCTGGGCCTCAGTCTCCTGCATACAGAATGGGGGAGGCCTGCCCCCTCTGCACCCCTCTCAACTCAGGGCTGCCTGGTAGAGTTTCTCCCCAGGCCAGTAAGAAAGCATCTCAGCTCCGGACAGGCTTCCTCCGATCACCCCGCAAGTGCTTGCTGTGTCCCGATCCTAGCCTCTGCGGAGCCTCCCTGTGGGCCCCAGGGCTCTGCCCTGCTCCAAAGAGCATTCTATTCCTGGGTGTCCTCGCCAGGCTTCCCATAGGCTGCCCTCCTGCTTGTTTGCCCTGGAGATAGCAGCTCCAGAGGCTGACGTCTGGAGGGGAACAAAAACAAACTGAAGAGAGGAAGTTTGCTTCCTGGCAGTGGGGGAGCTGGAGGAACAGGTATGTCTTGGAGGAAAGGGGAGGTCAAGGAGATGTACGTGCGTGCGTGCGTGTGTTGCTTTCAGCTCTCTGAATACCAGGCCCCCGACTCCAAGCCCATTCCTGTGACACCCTGGGTGCATCCACCAGTTTCAAAGGGCCTTCTCAGGTGCCGTAGGCCCAGCTCTGACCCCAAGCCCTGGGGCGGGTGAGGGGGGGTGTTCTTCACCCCTAGACAGGCTTCCCTGGCAGGCCCTGGGCCCAGGCCCTGGACCCCCAGCATGGAGAAAAGAGCCCCTTCCCCAGTAGGCCCAGCACTGCCATCAGAACAGTGCCCCAAGCCCTCCCTGAGGGCAAAGGGGAGCTGGGCACAGCCTAGGATGCCCAACTTGCAACTCAGGTGGCATCTGTGTGGCCCAGCATCCAGGGCCCAGGTCACACAAAGCTCCTATGCCTGTAGGCTCTATGGTACCACCTGACACCATGTGCCAGCCCTGCAAACAGGACTCCCCACCCCAGCACTGCCCACCTGCCCGTCTCTAGGTGGGGTGGGGTAGAAGTGTACTCACTGTAGCCCATGCCTTGCAGGAAGTATTTGAAGGCTTCAGTCAGCTTCCCTGGCTGTGGAGGGCAGGATAAGCACATGCTTTTATTGGCTGCCTGGGATTAGCAGGGAGGGTAGAGGCTTCCCCCATCCCCATAGATGTAAGGGCAGGAGGGCCAGAAGTCTCACCTGTGTGACCTGGGGCAGCCCTCCAGAGTCCGCCATCTGCAAAGGAGAGAGTGGGGTGACCTGAGCAGGGCCCTCACTCCAAGACAAGCTCCCACCTGGCTGGGACCCCAGGCAAGCCCCTCCCTGAGGTTGGGCCCATGCTAGGGAAGCTGGCCCAGGGCTGGGGAAGAGGGCCTCACCTTCAGGAAGGTTGTGGTGGTCGGGTCCAGTTTGGAATTGCACTCCACCTGGGGACAAGGAGCCAGCTTCAGCAACAGCCCCTGCCCCTCCACACCCCCATGGCCAAGGCAGGTTTGATACCCCAAGCTGGGGAGGAGAGGGGGTAAGGGAGGCAGAGGGAGACCCAGCACCTGTCAAACTGCTTCTCCCAGGCTTTCTTCTCCCAGGGCTCTCCCAAGTTCTTGAAGACCAGTTTAGTAGCCCCCTGAAGGGCCTGGGACCCTTGGAGCCACTCACAACTGCTGGGAGTGGGAGTCAGGCAAGGCCTGGGCTGGCCCAGGAAAGCCCCGGAGCCCTCAGCAGTGAGGTGAGCGGTGCCGAGGGTCTGAGGGAGACTGGGTGGAGAGAGCTGACATAGCCCACCCCCACTCTTCCAGACCCTCCCGGTGAGCATGGGAAAGCCTGGTATTTTCAGGGCACATGGGATGCTCTGGGCACTTCTGGACCCTGCAGCTTCCCAGCAGCTCTGTGCTGATGGGGCACCCCAGCCCAGCCCTCCTGCTCTCAGAGTTCCAGCAGGAGAGGTGACACACAGCTCCCAAACGTTACAGGTGCAGGTGATGGGAAAAGGGGGACCGAGCCGCTGTATGCATTCATGATTTACAATGACTTGATCACATTTTAGAAGAAAGATCATAGGTTCTGGGCCTGAGGTGGGTAGGGATCAGGTTGGGGCTGCACTGCTGGGGAGGAAAGAGGGGGTCTTCAGGTGGCCCAGCCCTGGCTCCGGCTCTCCCCATTTCCAGGTCTCCCCCACCAGAAGGGTGGGAGCTATGCCAAATGTGATGTGTGGCAAGACTGCGAAAGTGGAGGAGAAGGCCACCACCCACTGCCGGCCCCTCCCACCATCCACTGCCAGCCATTGAGGCTCCTCAGGGCTGGGTCAAGAATTGCCCCTGCTGGTTCCACCCCAGACTCAGGATGTATGTGTGTGTACACATGCTTACCTGGTTCTACCCTCGACTCACATCTTCAGGTGTGTGGTGGTGTGTGTATGCGTGTGTATCTGGTTCCAGTAAGCCAGTGAGCCCCTCACCCCTACCTCCCAGCCCCAGTGAGCCCACTGCCCCTCACTCACCACCCCATCCTCAGCGGGTGCATTATCCCCGACCACCAGCATCACGGGGCAGCTGCAGATACAGAGGAAAAGGGCTGTCTGGCTGGGTCATGGGGGCAAAGGCCAGGGCAGGCCAGAGGGCCAGGGGGCACTCACCGGAGCGTCTTGGCATTGGGTACCGTTCCAGGCCGGTTGATGTCCAGGTCTCTGCGGCTATGGGAGAGGGGCAGAGGCAGAGGTGGGCACGCCAGGACAAGATGTTGGTCATCCCAAGCCCAACACTGCCATTGGTGAAGCAGGGAGGCGTGGACCTGCTCTGCATAAATGGACCAGGGGCTTCCCTGGGCACAGGTTTTTGGACTCTCCAACACATCCCAGGTGGGCTCTCAGATTTTGCTCTCCATGCCCCTCAGAGCCATGGGCACTGCCACCTGTGCTGTGGGAGTTTCTGCCACTGGCCTGTCTCCTGAACCATATGGGATGGCAGGCCCTGGGTCTATTTATTCTCTATTGTTTTCCTAGTACCATGCACACAGCCGGTCCTTAATATTTGTAGAAGAATGAGAAGAAGGACAGGTGAGTGAGGGGGGCTGGCCACCCCCGTGCAGGGCAGGGCAGGCCCCAAAGAGGCTCCCAGGGGCATAGCTTGCAAACCACAGGCTCATCTGACCTCTTCCCCGATTTGCAGACATCAGTATCAAGGCTGGATGACTGGAATCAGGGATGTCACTGACACCCCCAACACTCCTGCCCAGGAAGGCCTCAGGAGAGGAGGAAAAGTGGAAGAGCCCAGGGCAGGGAGTCCGACGCTCTGCTCCCTTCTGCCCCTCACAGGGCGTGACCTCGTGCAGGAAATGACCTCCTCTGAGGCCCAATACCCTGCTCATCTACAAACTGGGGTAAGGGTGCTGCCTGCCTGCCTCCCTCGGGGCAGTGTGCGAGGCCCTCCACTGGGTTGTACTGGGTCCCAGGGCTGCTGTCCCCACCCGCACCTGTTGTACATATTCCAGAAGAGCTGAAGGTTGGCCTGGTTCACCACATTTCCAATCTGCTGCCGGTAGCTCTGCACCAACTCTGTGTTGTTCACCAGCTCCTCCTAGGCCCAGGGGGATGGGTGGGGCCATGCAGAGGGGCAGAGAGAGGGATGTGGGCTCAGAGGGGGCCAGCAGATGTCACTGCCAGAGTGGCCCTTGCCCCACCCCAGCAGGGCAGGGGGGAGAGGGTGTGGGCAGGTAGGAGGTGGGGCCTTGGGAGCCGATGTCTGTCTTTCAGATGCCACAGCATCACGGAGCTGCAATCTGGAGTGAGCCAGGGCAGATGCCAAATACACCTGTCTGCCTCCTCTTGCTGGGCTGGGAGGGGCAAATCCCAGGGTGCCCCAAATCTGCAGAGGCCCCCACCCCCTCACCTGACTGAAGAGGTGGGAGAGCACCGTGTCAGGTAAAGTGCTGGTCAGGCCGGAGAGCTGCAGGGAGCAGGGTGCCAGCGTGAGTGCTGCCCCTCACCCCACCCTAGGTGCACCCACCCCACCCCCAGTCACACACCCACCTTGGTGGCAGCCCAGTCTATCCAGCCTTTGCCGTTGGGGTCGATGTTCACCAGCACCAGCCCCTCCACCAGATCGGGGAAGATGAGCTGCATTAAAAGGGAAGACAGGGCTGGGCGGGGCCGGGACGGGTGCAGACAGCAGAAACGCACTGTGAAGTCTTCAAGGTGCCACTGATGAGCAGCTGGGTCCGTGCCCGCACACCCAGGTCCAGACGCCCCTGCTTGTCCTCCTGTCACCCAGCCCTTCACAGTTCCTGGATTTATTTAGAATCTCTATCACTGTTTCCAAATAAAATTTTTTGCTAAAAAAGTTACTCATGTTGAAATACCATGGCAATTAGTGAAGGATGATCCTTATTCAGTGGCTAGAATAGTTAGTTGTATAGTTTGTTGCTATTAGAAATTCTGGCTCTGGATAATAGTTTACGCAAGTTATAGTTTGTAGCCTTTTGAGAAAAATGTATGGAGAGAGGAACCTGTTTTTTTTTTTTTTTGAGACAGTTTTGCTCTGTTGCCCAGGCTGGAGTGCAATGGCGCAATCTCGCCTTACTGCAGCCTCTGTCTCCCAGGTTCAAGCAATTCTGCCTCAGCCTCCAGAGTAGCTGGGGTTACAGGCATGTGCCACCATGCTCAGCTAATTTTGTATTTTTAGTAGAGATGAGGTTTCTCCATGCTGGTCAGGCTGGTCTTGAACTGCCGACCTGAGGTGATCCGCCCGCCTTGGCCTCCCAAAGTGCATGTGAGCCACCATGCCCATCGCTAGGAACCTTTTTTTTTTTTTTTAAGTTAATTTCCCTGGAGAAAAAAAGCAGAGGTTTCCTACATAAAGAGGACGTAGAAGGAGGAGGAGGAAGAGCAGGGACAGTTCCTCGAGGCTGAAGGGTTCCCCCCACTGCCCACCAGCAGGAGATCCCTGCCCTGCCTTGGTGTTTGGGGTAACGGGAGCGTGGGGAAACTCACAGCGAATTTGGCCAGCACATAGGCTCCGGCGCCCACTCCGATGCCAATCACGTACTTGAACCTGGTGCAGAGCAGGCTGGTTACTCTAGGGCTGGGGTGCCATTTCCCATACCTGTCATCCAGAGCAGGCCCTGCCCATAGCCTGAAGCCCTCAGCTGGAGCCAGGTGGCTCTGCCGTGGGGGTAGGACCCCTGGGCCCTAGCACAGGGGTAGGGGCTGAGTGGGGACTCACCCGAAATGTTGCACCACGCTGGGGAGCATGGCAGCCAGCTGCTCCATGGAGGGGAACTGGTACCTGCAGGCAGAGCAGGAGGTCAGGGCCCAGGTGTGGCCTGGGGCGCACAGCTGGGGACAGGGAGAGGGGGCTCGGGGTACCTACCCCTGAGGAAACTGTGACGCCCCCACCTGCTGTCCAGGGGCATCCACGTGACACACCACAAAGTGCTTGGTGATCTCCTGCATGTCCTCGAAGTTGAAGAAGGTGTTGAAGCATAGCTTGTCTGTAAAGACACACCTCCACTGTGGCTGAGCAGAGGGGCCGGGGGACTGGAAGGGAGGCCGGGCCCCACAAGGGCAGGCAAGGCAGAAGCGTCAGCCTTGGGTCCATCAGGGAAATGGAGGCCCAGAGGGCGAAGGAGACAGAACTAGGTGTGAGTGGGAGGAAGGGCCCCGTGGGGAGGGTGGGAGCCTCACTGCTCTGGCTGATTGGAGACAGAGGAGGGCGATGGAGGCTGGGCTGCACTTACGGTTGAGGCCCACGTCATGGTAGGTGAGGATGGCTGGGCGGTTCCCCTTGGGGGAGCCCCGGATCACCACGTGTAGAAGGCCGTAGGGGGTCTCGATGTCATGTTCCTGGAGGGGAGAGACCGTGCTGGACACGCCAGGCAGCTCCTGCTCCTGGCTCCTCTGGGGAATGGGGCCTGCGGTGGAGCATCTACATGGGGCATCCTGTTCTCACCACCCCAAGAAGCCCCCAGAGAAAACCGACTGGATGGGATGCCCCTTCTTGGGGCTGTTCGGCACACAGATAATGTGAACTGGTCTGCGTGGGGAAGTTCTGGTCCTCTGCAAACCAGCCAGCAACGTTTGTGCTGCCACTGCCTGGCCCAGCCACCCCCTTGCAACTTAGCCCTTGAGAGTCCAGGGAGGCTTTTTCTCCATTTTGCAGTAGCCTCTCCTGGACAGCTCTGCCTCCCCAGCCCAAGTCCCTCTCACACTCAGAACTCTCAGGTGCTTCCTGCTGCTGCAGGGCAATGGCCTCAGCAGTCCTGCCTGAAATCCTCAGTAAACACTGGTGCCAGTCAAGCCTCACCCCGACCTGACCCCCACTCTGCCTCCAGCTCCTACCCTAAGGCTTTTACACATGTGGTTCCTTCCACCTTGAACACCATTCCCTGAGCCCAGCATCCCCAGGCACTCCCTTCAGACAAGCCCCTGTCAGACCCCAGTCCCCATCCCCTCTAGAGGCCTTCTGCAGAGCCTGCTGTGGGATCCTCTTGAGTTCACACCTTTGGTTTTACTGCTCAAGGTCATTACTTCCTCAGGAAGACCTGGCTCTACCCCTTACTTGTGACTCTGAGCATGTCACGTCACTTCTGCTGTACCTCAGCCTCTCCATCTAGAGCCACCTTGCGAGAATGAAACAAGCCAATGTCTGTGGAGCATTTAGCACTTGGAAAAAGCCCTCAAAAGGGGGCTGTAATGCTAAGGCATCCCTGAGCCTTTGGGGGATACCCTCCTCACTGGTCGCCTGGCAAACTGGGCATTCTTAGCCACTCAGATGGGCAAACTTCAAGAGGTGCCGTCTGAGCTGAATAAACAGATCCTCTCTGCATCACGGGGAGTCCTGGGACCCACGTGGTGGCCCAGTGAGTTGGAGGTAGGGCTGGGGTCAAGGACATGAAAGAGACATCAAGTAACAGCACCTACTGTGTGCTGGGCTTCCTGCATGTTTCCCAAGAGACAGGAAGCCTAGTGCCTGTTTTGCAGATCAGGACACTTTGGTTAAGAATGAACGTTAAGTTCCTGTCTTCAAATGGGAAAGGAGACACAGGCAGCAGGAGACAGTTGCTCAGGGACCAGCCTTAGTGGGTCTGGTCTCAGAGGACCACTGTCCAGGACTGTGTCTCCAGTTCTGACTGACAACTGGCACCGACCTGGTGGCCAAAGTCTCCATCCACCCTGGGGGCCATGGCTTGTTTATTTCCCTGTTGGCCTCCAGGAGGGCCCAGGTAATGAGCCTTAGGGTGAGCCATGTGGCTGATTGCACCACCCAGGGGATGAGGAGGCCACACCAGGGCTGAGGGGACAGACCACACAGCCCCTCCCTTCCCAGGCCTGTCCTTCCTCCGGGGGTTATCAAATCCAGGAACACTTCCCAGTCCCTGACCGCTGGTCCACACTTCTCTCATTTACTCCCCACATGGACCCAGGCCATAGAGGAGAAAATTGAGGCTGAGAAAGGGGAATGACTGGCCCAAGGTCAACCCCTGAGGAGGGAGAGCGGGCCCTGCCAGGTGCCACTCTCAGGGCCAGGGTGGTGCACTGAGGCTGTATGTTCAGAGGAGATCAGGTTTCACCCGAGGGAGCTCCTGACCAGCCTGCCCCTTCACAGCCACCTGTGGGTTCTCTGGGCTCTGGAGGGTGGGGCTGCAATACAGCTGCAATGCGCTTCCTGCTGCATAAAGGACACTTATCCTCCTGGGGTCAGAAGTCAAGCGCCCAGGGCAGTGTCTTCCAAACCCAGACACGCGAATCTCGAATCGTGGGAGGCGGGAGGGGTCTCTGCCCTCCGCTGCTGAGCAGGCCCCGACTGTCTCCCCTCAGGCCTGGTCCCCATCCCCCCTGACGTGATGTGATCAGCCACAGGGCTGGCCCTACTAAGGCTCATCTCCCAGGATGGGAAGGGCTGGGCCTGGGCGTCGCCGGGCTGCCTGTCCTACGAAGCCCAGTGACCTTGGGTGAACTCTGCTGCCGACCTCCCTAGTGCCTCCTCTGACCCTCTGCAGGGAGCTCAGGACTCAGTTCAGCCTGATCCAAGTCGAGCACCCCCGTCCCGCTGTCCCTCAGAGCGCTGCGCAAGGACAGCGCCCTGGGGGCCACAGCGCGGTGTCCACTGAGGCCCCCAACCCTCAGGGCCTCGCACTCCCATTGGCTCCGGGTGACGTCAGAGCCGGCCCCGCCTCCAGGTGGGCGCAGGCGGGAAGCACTGCGGCAGCCGGGGAGGGGGCTCTGGCGGCTCCTCTCGACCTGTCCGTCTCCCCTCGCCTGTGACCTTGAGCACTGCAGGGAAGGGGGGGGCTCTGAGCCGGGCTTTGCGCCTGTGTGGGAGCTGGTGGTGGTGGTGCCGTGGTTTGGCCTGTCCGCCGCATCAATAATTCAGGGGACAGGGTCTGCAGGGGCGGGCAGGCGCTGACGTTGTCGCCTGTGTGTGTGCGGGGTGACCCCTGGTCTGCGGAACAGGCACGGCAGGCGTGTGGGGCCCGAGGGTGGGGGTGGGAGTAAGTCTGCCCCTGCCGCTCCCTCCTGAGGAAGAATGGGGCCGGGGTACCTGATGCCCCGGCGAGAAGAGGTGCCCTGGGCTCCAACTGGGGTCCCCTAGCCCTGCCAGCTTCACGGCTCCAGCGTTGCCTTCCCCCACCTACAAAATAAGGCACCAGGCAACCCCTCCTCGCTCCTCCCCAGCAGGGACCCCCGCCTGAAGGCTGTCATTCTGGTGTGGCCCAGACCTCGCCTCCGCCCGGCTGGCGCTGCACAGCCCTGGGAACTGGGAGGCGACTCCTCAAGAAGAAGCTGCCTGTCCTTCCCGTGGCACTGGCGCAGCCATCCAAACAAGCTAGACGGCCGCCCACTCGGACGGCAGCCCCTGCACGCACACTAGGCGCACAGCCTCGGGGGCGCACCAAGGACACCTCCGCCCCCGGCCTGATGGCCCCAGGCACCACCCAGGTAGGGACCATCCAAGCACACACCAGAGGGTACACGGTCAGTGGGACGTGCAGGCACTGGCGCACGGGTCCACACGGGCAATGAAGCCAAGTCAGATCGCGCCTTCCCCGTTCCATTTCCTGCAGAGATGTCACCCACCCCCCCATCCACACGCTCCCCCCAGCCCCTGCCATGGGCTCTGACTAGCAGCTGCCCCCAACCGCTCCTGCAAACAGGGGCACCAGGGACCCTGGGGCCCTCTGACCGTGTCTCAGTGACCCCAGGGTGAGGCGAATGAAGGCAGGGCTGCCACCAGATGTGGGCTGAGGGGGGCGGGCATTTGCTCCCTGCGTGGGTCATAAGGATGCCCCATCCTCCCGGCCCACCTCGCGGCCCGCAAAGCCCTCACT